GGCATTTCTCACTGTGTGGTCTTTTTGCTATTCTCTCGCTCTACCCTGCCTTCTGCTTTTTTCATATAGGAAAAATAGAGCAAGGTTTTAAACTGCATTTAATTTGATTACATTAAAATGATACAACTGGAGGAATCTGGAATGATATGAGAGTTTTTTCACTAATGTTAATAACATCGTATTTAGAGTGTGAGAAGTAGTTAGCTATGGATAGTCATCTAATATAGTATTATCCAAATGTGACAGCCAGCTGTGGCAAGTATTAACTCTGATGAGGCCACCAAGAGTCACCCACACACAGATGTTCTTTAACCTGGGTGCTTACAACTCATTTGACTCTGCAACTCTCTGAAGGATAAAAGTAATTTTAAACCAAATAGAATGTAATAAATCATGGATAAAGATCTGGTACCCTTCTGGCATTTTCTTACAAGGCAATGATGACAGCAAGTATCTTATGTTAACTCACCAAGAAGAGCTTTAATGACAGCAGCATTTGTGTAATAAGTGCCCAAATCCAGCATGTGTTATCTATCCCTAGAGCTCTGGCGCTTTCTCACATTGATCACATGACAAGGACCCCAACAATGAAATTGTAAACAATCTTTGTTTACCAGAGTCTCAACATGTCTTATGAATAAAATTTCTGCTTTTTGAAAGATACAAGAAAATAAAATTCATGCATGTATTTCTGCTTGTCCCTAACCAGGACAGTGATACTAAGTGACCTTACCAGGTGTTCAGAAGTCTATATAACACATAACTCTGTGCAGCACCAGGCTCCTAGTGTGTCACCAAACACAGAGGTGGGTACAAACAGCCTCCAGCTGTGCAGATGGACTCCCACGCACTCACTGAGTGCAAAAGCCCAGGAAAGCCCATACCTAACTCATCCCGACAGAAAAGTCGCCCCTAGTTTAATCTCAAATACACTGTGTTGGCAACTTTAAAATATGAATCTTCCTCTGCATAATAGCAGTTAAAAATAGTATCACTCTTTACATACTAAGGGTTGGAAACTTTTGAAAATATTTTTTTAGAAAGCCATGGGGACAGAACAATGGAATCTTGTATTCCATTGTATTCAAGTAAAAGAATAATATGGGCTCCCTTCGTATTACTCCCTTGAGTTTATATATTGCCTTCCTTTTAAAAATCATGTATGTGGGTCCTCCCTGGTGGTGCAGAGGGTTAGGATGCAGCACTGCAAGCTAGTACAGCCATTGCAGTGTGAGTTCGATCCCCAGCCCCAGAGGTGATCTGCATGGCAAGTGGACCTCTCCTGTCTCCCCTGCTCTCCCCTCAACAGTGTACTTCATCAGTCTGCCTGTTCTGCTCCTCGTTCTGTCGCTAGTGGAACCCTCTCACCTCCCCTGCACCTCTGGCTTGTACCCCAGCTTTGTATGCATAAATAAATAAATCTTTAAAAAAAAATCATGTACGCTGTCAAAATATCCACTGGAAAATGCTGTGAAGAATTAACCCTCTACAAAGTTAGATAAAAGGAACTCACATGCCTTATAAACAAAAGCACACTCTCTTCACCAATTCTGACACCACCTGAAGGTTTCAGCAATGTCCACACAGAAAGAGTGGAGAAGGCGAAAAAGGTCAAGAAAGAAAGTGTACTATGGTCCCACTTCTATCATGCAGCTGTTTTGCTCAAAATTCAATACTGGCTTCTTATTACCTGCCAACTGTCAGTCATCTACAGTTGAAATCTAGCAAAGCAAGTGTGGAGACATCCAATCAGCCTTCACAGCCTGCCCCCTTGAAGTATTCATGCCTGCTCACTCTTCCATCCACTACTGTTTTTGCTGGAAATAACAACCAGAATTCAACCACCCCTTTACTGCCTCCTTTCCCTTTTTTGTCACATCATCTTAGTACCCAAATCTTTGACTGTCCAACCTCGCTCTATTCCATGTCTATCCTGCAGATGCACCAGCCCAGTGGATTGTTCTGAATGCCTTCAGATTCAAGCAATTATTTCTTCATATTTCACTAGGGTTCATGTAAGAACGCTACACCCCAAACTATTACATTTCCATGCCCTGCAAAGTTTGCTCCTCAACTACTAAGTCAGTTCAAATGCTGCTTCAAAGAAATGTCTACTGGATAAAGTAAGAGAGTGAAAGTGACAGGGAGAGAAATGCGGAGAGAGAGAAAAATTCAGACCCCAAAGAAAAGAGCAGAGCTAAAAAGTACTCTCAGAGAAAACAACTGCACAGATATGAAAGATGCTCTGTCCCAACAACTGCCTCAGAGACACACTGTGAAGAGCTGCACATGCATTGCCAGTGCATGTGTCCCTCCCTAGGGCACCCGCAAGCCGGCCGCTGTGAGCACTCAACAGAGTATGGATCATTCTAAAAGCTCCCTCTCCTCAGGCTCCCTGCTGTGCCCACTGTTGCTTCTAACAAACGATGTACACGTTATCTTATCTGAAACCTGATGCAAAGCTCAGACAGCCTTTGAAAGACTAAAGGGTACCCATGTAGCTCAGTGCATATGCATAAATACCATAAAACTATCACCTAAACTAGCAGAGAACGGAAACCATCTGGGCCAACAAATCCACTTTATGACTTGTTCTACATGTCCCAACTCTATCTCACTTTTAAAACGTACATCATTTTGTGTTAACTAATGTTAAATATATAAAGAACGGACAGTGCTTTTAGCTTTAAGAGCATCTTATCAAGTAAGAGCTTTGGTTCAATGTGGACTTGAAATAAAATTAGCCTCTATACTAGGTTCCTAGAGTTAAAGAGTTTCATTGTCTGAATCCTTGTTGGGCACTTGGAAGCTTCTGCAAACTTCATGTGACCCTGGGATCACAGCACATACTTTCCCTAAAGCCGAGGCGCCCTGGAAAGTTCACATCAGAAAAAGTCTGCTGAAGGTTACATTAGACCATATTGGCTTCTATTTACTTCTAAAAATGTAAAAGGATAAAGGAAGATATATGTCAGTTTCTCTGTCATTCCTAATTTCAAAAGAGATTTATAGGAGAGAGCCAAAGCAGATCACTCAGAGTAAATGTCATAAGAACTCCATATGCATTTTTGCAACTATCACAGTAGAAGACAAGAGCCGAAAGTGAATTAGTTTTAATTTCCCAACACATTTACAAATAGCATCCAACTTCTCTACAGCTGTAATTTTTTCCCACAGATGAAATGAAAACTTTCTTCGCGAAAGATGTCCCTTACTCACAACTCTCCCAGCAGATTGCAACCCTCTCACCTTCCTCTACCAACCTCTATTGCATTTCTTTAAACCAAGAAGCTTTAACAGTTATCAAAGTGCCTAAAGCCTCATTTCATGAATCTACTTCCTATCCTAAATACCTAGGACCAAATAAATACATAGTGCCAGTTATCTCTAAAATAGAGATCAACCATGTCCCAAATCAAGTTCCGTTAAGGTCTTGACAACCCCACTGTGATTGCACCCACACTCTATTCACACACTAGTCCCCACAACGCAGGTCTCATCATTCTCTATCATGTATCAAACTTGAGAATTCCAATTCCCACTAGTCTCTGGGCCAAAAATACCCCACCCCCTCACCTGTATCACTCAGTACCTGCTGAAAGCACTGTAGGCCCTCACCCACTGGCTCCATGGCACTGACCTATCAATGACACCTACCATGCATGCCACATTCACTGGCACTGACCCTCCAATCCTCCAATAACTTCTCAGGGGTTAAAGTTAAATATTTCCTATACCCAGCAACATGTCTGACACCAGTGTCATGTCTGACACTAAGTGTTTGCAAATGGAGTTAATCTGCAGACTGCCAGCAGGCATATTGATAATTTAATACAAACGCAAACAAAAAAATCATTTTTTTCTCCTCTAAACTGACATCACACAGACTGCTAATTATCCTTAAAAATCAAACATACTGGGCCCTCCCTGGTGGCGCAGCGGGTTAAAGCACAGCACTAAGAAGCTAAAGCCACTCCAGCATGAGTTCGATCCCCGCCCCAGAGGTGACTCACATGGCGCGGCAGACCTCTCCTAACCCACCCGCTGTTCCCCTCAGCAGTGTACTTCGTCGAGCTGCCTGTACTGCTCCCCACTCTGTCTCTGGTGAATCCTTTCACTGCTCCTGCATCTCTGGCCTGTACCCCAGTTCTGTATGCATAAATAAATAAATAATCTTAAAAAAAAAACCATACATACTTACATTAACTGTCATGAGACAGGGAAAGTAAATTTGAAGCCTATGTTGCAAATTCTTAAGCAGTAAAATAACAGTAGTAGTAAGCAGTAACAGCAATTTCATTTACTCAGCACATATGTTTGAGTATTTTTGTGCCATGCACTATGCTGGATACTGAGTTCAGCATGTCAACATGCTTTCCCATGCATTATCTCACATGGGCCCTCCCTGGAGGTGCAACAGGTTAAAGTGCAGCACTGTAAAGCTATCAGCAGTCTCTTCCCCATGAGTTCAATCCCTGACCAGGGAGCTGACCCACATGGTGCAGCAGACCTCTCCTGACCTGCCCACTTCTCCCCTCAGCAGTGTATTTCACTCAACCTGCCAGCCTGTTCTGCTCCCCACTCTGTCTCTGGTGAACCCTCTCACACCCATACCTCTAGCCTATACCCCAGTTCTGTATGTATAAATAAATAAATCTTTTCAAAAAAAAAATTATCTCATGTTATTCTCATAAATGCCCTATGAGGTAGGCAGGGTAGTTATCATAACCCCCAACTTACAAATGAGAAACTGAGATAAAAAAATTTTCATGACTTGCTCATAGCCACAGTCAGTGAGAGAGAGATGGAGAACTAGAACAGCAGTCTCTGAGCCCAGGTGTGGAACTTACTACGAAACATTCAAGAGCTGCAAATTCTTGCTCTATGAACCTTACTTCCTATGTAGAAAAATTAAAGCATAACTTCAGTATTAATATTAACAGGGAAAATGCAGAGAAGTAAGGCAAGAACAGCTGTAACAGTTCAAGGTCAGTACTGACCTGTTGTCCTTGCACACAGTCACTTTGTCTCCCCCAGGGATTAGTTTCTTCTGTTCAACCACTCCATAGCTTTCTCGACAAATCTATATTTAAGGAGGAAAAAGAGAGACATTTCAATTTTGTTTATCACATACTTTCTTAGAAATCAAGTGATCAAAAGAAGCTGTAAAACAAGAAGGGTTTAATAACTACTTACTACTCTAGAAAATTCTTGGGAAGAGGGAGAGAGTCTAAGTTTGAAAACATCTGCTCCTCAAAAAATACCTTTATTGTAAGACATAAGAGTTGCTAGTACATTCGGTCAAAGAAAAATGACACGAGCTCTAAAAAAAAGCTATGTGTTAAAATTAGAAAATTAATGCATCAATATTTTCTTGGGTATAGCTATTAACCATTCATTCATTTGTTCAACAAATTCATTGAGTTCCTATGATAATAAAGGCAATATGACAAATTATTTGGCTCAGAGAAGCCCCTGGATTTTTTTCTTTAATTTGAAAAAAAAAATTAATAAAAAGTTAATTATTGGCCCTCCCTGGTGGCGCAGCAGGTTAAAGCACAGCACTAAGAAGCTAAAACCACTTCAGCACGAGTTCAATCCCTGCCCCGGAGAAGATCCACATGGCGTGGCAGACCTCTCCTGACCCACCCGCTGCTCCCCTCAGCAGTGTACTTCGTCAGTCGGCCTGTTCTGCTCCCCCATCTGTCTCTGGTGAACTTTCAGCACCCCTGAACTTCTGGCCTGTACCCCAGTTCTGTATGCATAAATAAAAAATAAATCTTTTAAAAAAAGTTAATTATCACTTGTATGAATGATGAAAGATGTAATCATAGTCATAATAAGGCATAGAAATCCTTACTGTGAAGTTGAGGCAGAAAGTCTCCTCAATATCTTCACCAGGATAATCTAAGAGTGCTTGAAGACTCCTAATCAGAGAATCACAGAGAAAGAAAAAGAGTTAAACCAGACATTACAATAGTGTTTCCATGTCAGTCACATACCCAGGCTGTTAGCAAGGCAAAACTTCATAGGAATATTTATATTTACAGGAATATTCTAGAATAAACAAATTGAGACTGAAAGAAAATCATATTACCAATAGGTTGGGAAGAAATAGGACAGTAACATTTAACATCATTAATTGTTCTTTTTTCCTACTGGATTTATGACATACTTGTGTTCTTTTCACCCTGATACTGCATCAAAATAGAAACATGTGGAGGTGCCCCCACCACAGCCCACTTCAGAATGGCTTCATCTATTTGCATTAGTTAGAACAATCCTTGCATAATAAAAAAGCCACTTAGGAATACTAAAGGCTTATTTGTTCATACAAGGAGCTCTAGACGGTAAAAGATACTCTGTTATCAGTCATGCTATCAAACACTGGAACACCTACTCCGAAAAAGTATGTTCTTCCCAGCAATGGCTATAACCAAGTTTTCAAAAGACATTCTTATAACTAAACATCATCACACTTTCTTCTTTAGTGAAATCGCAGTCTGACAGTTCCATTAAGTATTGCCCAGAGGCTCTCCCTTGTGGCACAGTGGGTTAAAGCACAGCACTAAGAAGCTAAAGCCATTTCAGCACGAGTTCGATCCTTGCCCAGGAGGAGATCCACATGGTGAGGCAGACCTCTCCTGACCTGCCTGCTGCTCCCCTCAGCAGTGTGCTTCATTCATCTGCCTGTTCTGCTCCCCAATCTGTCTCTGGTAATGCCTCTCACTGCCCCTGCACCGCTAGCCTGTATCCCAGTTCTGTATGCATAAATAAATAAATCTTAAAAAAAAAAAATATTGCCCAGAAAGGCAATTCTCTACTACCAGTTAACCAGCCAAAATCATTACTTACGCTGCATCATCCTTAGCCAGGCTGGCAGAGCAAATAGCACACACCTCTCTCAGTCTAGTCTCTTCTTTCACTTACCAAAAAATTAACACTACCTGGATTGCCTCTGTCATGGTTTATTATTCCTTCTCAATTTCCTCTTCCTCTCTGTGCCTCCATCCTTCCCACCCTCCCCTTTTTGGTTCAGCAAAGGTGTTCTATACAGGCGGTGTGACAGTCTCATTTCCAGTGGGCATCTTGCAGACTACCCCCCTTTCATCTTAAAATCAGCCTGCTGGCTCCTTAAAAAGAGGGTGTTCTGGGCCCTCCCTGGTGGCGCAATGGGTTAAAGTACAGCACTGAGAAGCTAAAGTCACTTCAGCATGAGTTCAACCCATGCCTGCCTCAGAGGTGACCACGTGGCGCAGCAGACCTCTCCTGACCTGCCTGCTGCTCCCCTCAGCAGTGTACTTCGTCAGTCAGCCTGTTCTGCTCCCCGCTGTCTCTGGTGAAGTCTCTCACCGGCCCTGCACCTCTGGCCTGTATCCCCACTTCTGTATGTACACATAAATAAATCTTTAAAAAAAAAAAAAAAAAGAGGGTGTTCTTCCTGTTGAAGCCAAAGATTTATTCTTTTTATAGAAAGCCAAGCATATCGTGTCTTTTTATATATTTGATCCTATAATACCTAAAACCAATACAGAGAAACTCAGAATAAAAGGCATTTTAAGAGCGAGAAAGAAAGTAACATAAAAACATGGCTCCACTACTTTGGAAAACACTGCAAAAATTCCTTAAAAGGCTAAACACTATTCCCAAGTGACCCAGTAATTCCATTCTAGGCACATACCCAAAAGGAAGGGAAACTTACATCTACACAAAAACTTGTACAAGAATATCCACAGCAGCATTCTCCATAAACAGCCAAAATGTTAAAACATGCCAAACCTCAGATCCATCAACTATTAAATGGATAAATAAAATGTGACATATCCATACAACAGAATATTGTTCCTCAATAAAAAGAAATACTGATATGTTACACTATGCATGAACCTTGAAAACAAGTGTGGAAGAAGCCAGGCAGAAAGGACTACATTGTATGCCTGCATTTATATGAGCTATTCAGAATCAGAACTTTCCACCCACAGAAAGTAGATTAGTAGTTGCCAAGGGCTGGGGGATGAGGAGATTGAGACTGATGACAGGTTTCTTTTTCAGGTGATGAATGTATTCGAAAATTAATGGTGGTGATGCTGCTTAACTGGGAACACACTCCAAGTCACTGAACTGTACACTTTAACAGGGTAAGTAGTCTGGCATGTAATTTATATCTCAATTAACTCTCTTTTAAGGCAACCTTTTTGATTCTTCCTCCCTTTGTATATCTAGGTCATGAAAGTCTCAAAGACACCCCTTTTTACTCAGGCTAAGGAGAACAGTGGTTCTCTCGTATCACAGGGTAGCTATGGCATCTCTTCCTTTTTTTCTTCCCTTCTAGAGTGACTCAAAGCAAGTAGTTGTGCGTCTACCTATTAACCCAATAGCATATAACCACTTGGTTCTAGAAACTTAAACTTGTACTTGTGAGACTTTCAACTTTTAATCATCATGCCAGAAGCAGCCAGAGCAGTTCCCCACACCAAATGCCTCTCTTTATGCTGTGTACCTTCCTTCAGTGGGTGACAACTCTTTTAAGTCTTCCAAGCCAGGCTTCACGTTCAGTAACTTCTTGTAGAGAGCCAAGGGGAAGTGGAGGTCGACCACGGTGGAGTTGTAGATAGCTAGTCCACAGGTTATGCCAATCAAGTGGAACCAGTTGTGTTCTACAAAACACTTTCCATATATACACAAATGTGTTAAAAAGAAATGCAGCATTCTGGGTTCTCAAAACACTCTGCCATTCACCGTAAAACCTTCTGAAACAGGTAAACACCCTTGACAAAAGTTCAATTATCTCCAAAAAAAGACAATGTAGACAAAGTTAGGAGTCTGTTGTTAGTGATTCAAAGAACAACTTATGATTACCTACAGCAATTCTGTCCAACTGAACTTGCAGCAATGGTGAAAACTCTATTCTGTACTGTCCTGGGTGAATACTAGCATGTGAATACTGAGCACCCCAACAGTGGCCAGTACAAATGAGTAGATTAATCTCTAGCAATATTTAATCAAATCAAATTTAAAATTAAATAGACACTTATGGCAACCTGTTAGAACAGTGCAGAACTAGGGAGAAAATTCTGATAGAAAAAGAACTAACTTATAACCTGGTTGAAGTTAGAGCCTTTCAAAACTTAGCTCTTCAATTAAATTTTCAAAAAGTAAGTGTATGCATTTGTATAAGTATTCATATACAAACGATTGTTCTTATTAAAATAAGCCATGTCTGACCACCACTTTCCACATGTCATAAAAATGTCTTTCTCACTATGTTCTTTGTATGCTTGAAGGATAACAAGACTTGGATTTTATCTACTAGAAATGGGAATGGGGCTGGGGCTTTAGAAACAGGTAAAAAATGAAGATTGGATACATGATTTTTAAATTATCTTTGTTATGCCCCCCACTTTCTAAAGTCAGTGGATTTGTCTTACAATAAAAAGGAAATTTAATTCAATCAATTTGTTGAATTGTTAACATTACTAACTTACTGTATCTGAAAACCACAAGAGATTTGAATCCTGATAGTAGGTGAACATTCCATAGATGGGATTCAAAAGTTCTTTTAACAGCAAAAGAAAGAACTCCTTTGTGACACCACCAGCATCCACTGCTTCTTCACCATCAAAGATTACCTTAAAAAAAAGATTAATACGTCAGGGGAGATCTGGCACTTTATCTTACTATCATTTTTTGTTTTTAGCAAATTCTTTCCAAAGTCAGAACAAAAGAAGAGGCAACAGAGAACACACTGATGCCATGAAAACTGCAAGGTGTATCTGCTGATTATTAAGAGGGTATTAAAAGATACCAAACATTTTTAGTAGGCACTTCAAGGAGTTCAAAGGTAGTCAAAGTTTATCACAAGTCCACAGAAAGTTGACCAGGTAAGAGGAAAATAATTAGAGAAGATATTCCATTTTCAAAAAGTGAAATTTCATGAAAGGTAAATGTTCTGTAACATAGAGAAAAGGCAATTATGAATACGAGTAGAGAAACACTTTCTGGAAGAAACTTCTCTCAGTAGGTAAGTAACTGATTCCCATGAACAGGAGGGCTGTCTATAAGCAGGCAGAGATGTAAGTCTGTGAGGGAACTCGCCAGGCATGCTAAGTGTAACCACAGTAAACCAACAGACGAAACTCACTGAGACTTGTTATATGCCAAAGCCTAACCTCTACTAGCTTAATCCTCAGGACAGCCTATGTACAGGGATTACTATCATCATCCCCATTTTATAGGCAAGGGTTCAAGCACTGATTTAAAACAGTATTCTAAAATGCTTTTTATCTTTGTGGCTGTGTTCAAGGTTGCATGATGAGCATGCAGGATGAGCATGGAGGAGGGGACAGACAACGTACTTCAATAATACAGACAGCAGAAGACTTAATGAGTCTTTTACAAAGCAAGAATCAGTTCCTCTGAATTACTAATTTGAAAGTAGGGAGCAAAGGCAGCTCCCTGTCTTCATAATATCAAAAATACAGCCTAAAGTTGTAGAGAGAACTCCCAGGCAAATTAATGGGGTTTCTGCTACTCAAGGGGTATTTTGGAAAGGGCAGTATGCTGGAGACCAGCACTTCACTTATTATGTTTCAGAGACTGGAGTTTATAACAGGCTTGGAAATAGAGATATGGAAGTCTTCCAGAGGGAAAGAGGGATGGTTTAAAACAACTTCAAATAATTCACTAAATATTTACTGAACATCTACTTGTGTACAAAGCATTATGCTAAGCCCTAAGAATACAATCAGCAGTAGAAATGTACACTTTATATGAGGAAAGAAATTAATAATTTCAGAGTACTAGGAGTACCTGTCGTAATAGGGCAATAGTTTCTTTAATTATTCCAGTCTGTCCACACTCATTTTTTATTATCTTTCTCTTAAATTTCTTCCTTTATGTTGACTTGGTAGTTTCACCTCACTAAAGCTTTAGTTTTGCTTTTATTGGCTTGTTTTGGGTAGAATCCATGCAGGAATGTGAAAAACCGTAGATGCCTACAAAGCTCTATAATCCCTCAAATAATCCAGCATTTTTTTACTGTTTGGTGATTCTTATAAAATGAATGAAGAAAATGAATGGCTGCACTCTGCAATTTTAATAAGAACTGCTGCTGCATACGTGCTGTTTAAAGAAAACTCAGGAAGATGCTTAGAGGAATATACTGAAGGGCTCACTTTGAGAGGCTTTTTTAAATCAATGTCAGAATGAATGCTCAGTTCTCTCAGGGCGTCTCCAACGAGGTTGTTTCGGCGAACATGAAGTACCAGGAAGGGGCTTCTGGCCAGCAGAGGCTCCAAGGTGAGAAGCATGAAGACGTTCTGCAAGTTGGCTCCATTGACGGCCACCTGGAACAGCACATCCAAGAACACAGTCACTCAGAGGACCCTGGGAGTGGGGGCAGCAGACAGTTGTGATTTTGGGCCTGGGAGGGGGAGGGCGGAGGGAGCAACAGGCTCTCTGCAGTTCCATTTTGTTCCTTTTGTTTTCTGCTTAACAAATTGCAGTAGATGTTCTACTCATGTTTATACAAGCACAAATCTTTCTAATCTGAGCTCAAAGAGATTAACTGAAACAGTTTATAAATCATATGATCATTAAGGAGTTCCAGGAAAATGATTCAGAACAGCTGACTAAGACTAAAAGCTATCATACTAGAAGAAACTTGATGGGACTGGATAAAAACCATGACTTTTAAAATGCAGGAAAAACAACCAAGTAACCATTGGTTAAACATTGTTTATGCTTTGAAAAAAAGTCTGTTTTGTTTTTTTTTTCCTGGCAAACCTTTTAACTGTCATTTTCATAAACAGATCAGTGTCAAAACAGACATCAAAGGGACTGAGAAATTGAAAGATAAACACTAAGGGGGGTGGGGAGGAGAAATATGAAGTTCTATATCCACCAGGAGGAATTGGTAGATTTAGATTACCAATTCATAAATGAATTTGTAGGCACGTCAAAATCAATATATCGATCTTGTAGAACTTAAAACTCTGTAACTTAACTTTTTACCCAATAAAACTAACTTAGAACTACCAAGTTCCATATAATTATACCTCTTTCTCTGTATCAGTGCCTGCTGCCTGTATTGTACAGCTCTTGAACTAACAATGTTTTCACATTTTCAAATGGTTGAAAAACGTCAAAAGAATACTACTTCACACGTGATAATTACATAAATTGCAAACTTCAATATATATAAAGTTTACTGGAATATTCCCATGACCATGCATTTCTATATTGCCTATCACTCTCGTTAGTGTTATAAGAGCTGAAAAGTGACAGTGACAAAGACTGAAATACTGGGCAGCCCTTACTGAAAATGTTTGCCAACTACTGATCTATATAAATATGTGTTCATATGTGTTATAGGTGATATAAAATTGCTGAGAAAATATAGTTTTAAAAGTTATCATGGAGGGCCCTCCCTGGTGGCGCAGCAGGTTAAAGCACAACACTAAGAAGCTTAAGCCATTTCCTCATGAGTTCAATCCCCGCCTGCCCTGGAGGAGATCCACATGGCATGGCAGACCTCTCCTGACCCGCCCGCTGCTCCCCTCAGCAATGTACTTCATCTGTCTGTTCTGCTCCCCACTCTGTCTCTGGTGAATCCTCTCACCCTCCGCATGTCTGGCCTGTACCCCAGTTCTGTATGAATAAATAAATAAATTTAAAAAAAAAAAGTTCTCATGGAAATTGATCCAAATACACTTCTATAAGAATCAGGGAAGTTACAACTGCATGTAGAAAGAAACACAGAAGACAATGATTTTTAAAATATCATACCTGCATCTGTAATTCAGCATCAGTCTGCAACATTTTGGTCTTGGCTTGGGCATCAAAAATAAAAGGATAGGAACAAAGTGTCACAGCATCCTTGAATAAAACATATTATAGTAAGTAATAAGGTATTTCACAGAATATATGTCTAGAAAAATATATAAATTTTGAAAGGGTCATTTACCTGTATTATAGATGGTCTAGCCTTCTGTGTAAAAATAAAGAGAAAGTCTCTTAACTTGGGTTATAAAAACCAAATATTTTATCATCTATAAATGTAAAACACAAACAGCAAAACATATAACCTATCTGACTACTCAACCATCAAATGAACACTACTTAAAGAGCTGACTGAATTCTTGATGCAATAGAGCAGATGTTTTGATCGATACAGACTGAGAAAAGTAAAAACAATTAAAATATTTGACAGGTCAT